GTTCAGAACCAGGCTGACTCTTCCAACCAGGGTTACTCTGTACATGGCATGGCAAGAGCCCCAGACATCACAGTAGATACAATGACAATGACAGTTTCCTGCAAGAAGAATCAAAGTTCCTTGTCCTAAGAGAATCTCATAAAGAAGAGTAAAGTGTCTTAAGTAAGGGCATCTTTTCCTAAATCACATAAATTTACCCTATGTACTAACAGTGGTAAGCCAGCTCTTACTGCTGCTCCCTTCTGAACTGTGTGTAACATAGATTCCATCCATGCACTGTGATTTTATTAGGCCTTTTCATGGTTCAAATACATCATATTAAACCTGCTCCAAGCAGTTAACACTTTGTCTCTCTCCTTTTATTCTATGGGATTCCATCTTTTCTGCCTACTCCAGTTCTCTGCATCTCTTAGCCCTGCACCTACCAACACTGTTTTCTAAGTCACAACAGATCACTTTTTCTGGTTAATCTGATTTCCCAAAATTGAAACACAGCTTCCAAGCTGTCCACTGTAGTAACTTGCCAGATCCCATAATCCAAGAAGATAGGAGGGCTACAACCAGAAAGAGTACTTATGGAACCCACCCTATTCTGCCCTATCTGGCTGGAACTGCTCCAGAAGCCTCCTAAACATCAATTCGTAAAACTATTAACTTACGTGCTGTTCATGCAGGGATATAAATCACTCTGAGTCACCGCTGGCTCCGGCTCCTTTAACAGCCAGCCTTAGGGTCAATAGACTCTAGTTAAATTGCCATTGCCCCAAGCACCACTACTAAATTAACTCTAAAGTAGAACTTCGTTTCACCCTCCAAATCATTCTAGCTGTTTAATAAGAAAGTTCATGTAGTAGAGGGCAATGGGAGGGGAGGGGGAGATTCGATAGAGGGAGGGTAAATGGTGGGACCACACCTATGGAGCATATGGTAAGGGTACAAGTCAAATCTACAAGTATAGAACATAAATGTCTTAACACAATAATTAAGTACATCAGGTGAAGGCTATATCAATTAGTTTGATGTACCCATTCCAAATTGCATTAAAAAAACCACATTGTACCCCACAAAAGCATAAATGTATTCATGATCTATGTGTATATGACTTAATAAAAGGGAAAAAAAAGAAAGTTCATGTAAAATTTAGAAAAACATTGTGCAGAAAGGAAAGAGAAGAATTTGGGGAGAATGGCTACCTCTGCCAAGGGCAGGGCAGGGCAGGGCGGGGCAGGAGGTGAGCTGTTACCTGTCAGGCTGTATTTCTCTTTTAACAAAATCTTCAACAATAATGGCAAAATGTCAACATGTGTTGAGGGAGTTTGAGGAGTTGAGGATACCTATTATGTTACCTTCTGTACTTTGAATGTTAGAAATACACCATAATCTACATTTTAAAATTTTTAAAGGGGAATTTTGCATCCACTTTGGCTGACAATCACACTCTGATTATTGGTCTGAGAAGGTTAAGGACATCCTTTGAGGAACTCAAAGTCATCAAGTTCTGAACGGGCTGTCACCTGTCTTCCAAGTAAAGTAATGGTGAACGTAGCTGCTGGAGGGACTTGGTGGATTTGGCACGCCAGGCTAGATTGGTGTTGTCATAGCAACAGTGGCAGTGCCGGGGCTGGGGCAGCATGTAAGTGGACCCACAGCATGTTGACACACGTCCTTCCACCTAGATTTGTGCTTCCCCATACCCATCCCCACTGTTAAAGACTTCGACCTGTGTCTGTTCTCGGCCCTTTGTGGATGGAGACGTATTTGCAATGATGTATCTATCCTGCCACCTAGCCTTCAGCGACATCACTACAGCAAAGCTGCCTTAAGCCGGTCTTCCTCTCAGATCTGGGTCCTGCTGAATTTCTCAGTTCTAGGGAAGGACCTGAGCAACTGGTCCTTTCTTCCAGGTGGCAGTAACTTAGTTTGGGATCCAGATAAGATCCGGACATATGCTGTTCTCTGGGAAAGGGACTGAAGTCAATGCCATGAGGTCTGTAAAGTGGAGCAAACAATAAGCCCATCTGAGAAAGTGGTGAAAGCAGCACAGAGCAGAGAAGGGAGAACGTCAGCTGGCACTTCCCCTCCCAACCACAACAATCCCTAATGCTTTCTGTCCTGTTACAAAGACCAGTCCAAACCATGTTATCAGGCAGCATCCTTACCTTGAAAATCACCTAGAAACTCACAGAAAATGACCTCAGGTAAGGACTCTGAAGGTTTATCAAATAATAATGCTATCCACCTTTGGAAAAGTTATCCCAATAAAAGAGAGCACATTTTTCACTCTGCTGCACTTCTTAAAACTGGGTTTTGATGTGCTGTTAATCTTGTAAAACAAAGGGAAGGGGTGATTTCTGGGGAAATGTGACATAAGCGGATGATGTTAACTTCTCACTTCTTCAAGAAAGATGTGGTTGAACAGCATCAAAGCCAGTCTATGCCAGAGCTGGCGACAAGGAAGGTCCTGGGAAGGGACCTTTGCCTCTGATATTTGTATCTGAAAGGAACACATTAGCCTCTCCCAGCCACTTCTGTTCTGAGAACAGAAACAACACCTTCCCACTCCACCGATGTGTATTAATTATGGACTCTCAGAAGCAAACCCCATGCAGCCAGCCAGTCCCCCATCTTTCGATGAAATCCCTCTACCATCCCAGGCTACTGAGAATTCTTCTTTCCAATGCCCTCCCAGGAAGCCTGCAGGATCTCTGGGACATCAGCTCCAGTCCCTGCATCCCTCATGACACAAGCCATTTCTAAGTGGAGATTGAGAAAGGTTGCTTAACATTTTCTGGGTCTTGAAGGGTAACCTCTCTCCACAGCCCCCTCTACCGCCCGGTCCCAAGGGCCACTCTCACCACACTCCTCCTCCCTTCTTTCTGCCCCTTTCTTCTTCTCTATGAATCATCCCCTCCTCTTTTAACCTGTCCTCACACATTGTCTTGCCCAGCCACTGGAAGTCAGCTAGACAAAAAGAAATGTCACTGGAGGCCACCTCTCTCAGCATACAGGGTGGCTGGAACCAGCAACTCATGTTTCTTTGGAAGAAGTACACAATTTCCCCATTCAGCTCAAATGCAACCAGTTTGCTTGGTGTGGACCAAGCTGCTGAAGGTGTGCAGAAAGGAACAAGAACAGAGACTGGAACACACCAGTCTCGCAGTTCGAACTTGTGACAAATAAGAGAATAACACATGATCCCCCTTACCTCTAAAATATTTCAACCAAGGTTTTGACTATTAAGTTTTGACTATGAATTTCCTCCTACCTTACCAAGTCCCCCAGGCAGAGGGGAGAATCGGTTGGAAAGAGGTTTGCTATTATTTTTTTTTAACTTGTTACACACAGTTCTCCTCCCTCTCTCAGCCAGCACCTAAAACCCCTCTGGCAATCCGAGCAAAGGCACAACAATTTTAAACTTTATTCTTGTCTTAAAATATGCCTTTGGGCAACTAGATAAAGAGAGATCAGGCTCTGTGAGTGTTAACAGCATAAAGCCAGAAGCTCCCCAACTGAACTAGCAAGGGAAAATATTTTCTTAAAAGCTATCGCGGGAAAGAATTCTTATCATAGATAAGGGTGCAGTCTAGTGGCAAACTTCATGAAATGCAGCCCCTTCTCTAAAGGGAAATTAGAGCCATTCTTTAGAGAGGACGGGCAATGTAAAAGACATGATAGTCTCACCCCAAATCCTCCCAGGGGGTTCCTCACTAACCTGCCTGTGAGGGCCATGGCCCACCTATGTCAACTTCCAGAAAAGCTAAGATCACCACCTTCCTTCTTCCAATGTGTTAATTTTCTTTTGTTTTATTAAAGAAAGAAAGGGTCCCTAGTGTCCCCATAGGATGTCTGAGGTTTCAAGTGGCAGAGAATGTTCCTGGTCAGGATCTTTTCCCAGGAGGTCCTGTGGTCCTATCGGCCCAGGCTCATATTCCTGAGATGCTCACGTGAGCACTCATTAACCACCTAACGCGGTCTCCCTCTGGTCTGTCACCCATTCCCTCCAGGCATGTGGCCCTGCCTAGTAGAAATACCCTGTAAAACAACACGGAGATTATGTATCACTGCAAGCCACCTTTCTTCCCTCTAAAAACCCTGGACACAAGGAGTGTTCAGGTCATCAGGCAAGGTTTTCAGACTTAACAACATTTCCCCCCAAGTGTCAGTTTCTGTAACTCACTGCTCCAGACAAGACTGTTGTATGAATGCTCCTCCCTGCAAGCACACAACACACACACACACACACACAGACCCTTCCTGGGGAACAGTGTAGCTGAAGGAAAGTAGCCACCTCTTGGACCACATGAGCAAAGACAGTCACCCCATGAGCAACAGAAACACCTTTAATTAAATCCTCTTCTCCAGACTTTGAGACAGGAAATTTGATTTTTCTTCCTTTCCTTTCCTTTCCTTTTTGTAAATTCAGCTCACCAGCCATCACTGACCATTGTACACTACCAGCCCCCGCAACACACACGTGCACGTGCCCGCGCGCGCACACACACACACACACAGACCCCTTACATGGTAAATTAGACACTAGCAGACAGTCGTTTTCCGAAGCTTGGGAGGATTTCTTGGACACGGTGTATTTTCAGCTGGCTAATAAGAAAATGCTTCTCCCTCCAGCCTGTGCCTTGACTAGTTAAGGGATAGGAGGGATCCAGAGACCAAGTTCCTCTTCTCATTGTGTCCACCCTGCGCCGAGTAACTCTCTTCCCCTCGCCCCTCCACCTCCTCGCTCCTCTGGGTAGCCCCAGCCTGTCCCCCTTGCCCCTTTCCTACATTCCGGGGGGAGGAGGGCGCAGTACAGGGAGCGAAGGGGAGCCCCCTTGTGTCTAGAAGGCCTCTCCCCGCCCCCACCCCGTGTGAGTTTGTTCTGCAAAGCTCCTTGGCATCCTTGCCTGGGTTGGGTGTTGGGGAGCTCAAATTGCAGCTACAAACTGGCTGGCAGCCAGCGCCATCTATTTAAAAGCGCTTGCTCGCCCGGAGCCCTTAGTCTCTTTGGAAACTTCTGCCGGGGAAAAGAGCTCTCGGAAAGAGCTGCAAAGCGGTGTGGGCTTTTTTCTTTTTTTGCTCCTTTTGATTACCTCCTCCGTTTGCACCCTTCTCCGGACTAATCGCAGAAACTGCGAATTTCGAAGAGGTGGTGGCAGAGTGGGAGAAAAGAAGTGTTAGGATCTGAGGGTTTTATTTTTAATTTCTTGATATCAACATTTTTCTCCCACTACTTCGGCTGCAGCCAAAGCTCCTTACCTGTTCCGCGGCAGCCGCGCGCCGCTGGCAGCTAAGGGTTAGAAAGGAGTGGGGTGTATTTTAAATTTTAAGCAAAATTTTTTAAAGATAAATCTATTTTTCTCCCCCCACCCACCCCCATCTCCACAGCCTCTGAACTCATTATTTCGGCGGTTGCCTTGGGGTGAACAGTTTTGTGGGGTTTTTTCTCCCTACAATTCTGACCAGATCCGGCTTGGGGGTTCCTGTGGCCTCCGCTCACTCCGCGCGCACCTGACGCTGCCCTTTTCTCCCCAACCTGTTGCAAGGCTTTGATCCTTGCAATTGGGGCTCGCTTGCAGGCATCCTAGTCTTCCATCTCTCCCTACATTTTGTAAGTGTCTGGGGGAGAGCACCTGCTCTACCTACCAGAGATTTAAAAAATCTCCGGGCGCCCTCTTGGCCCCTTTATCCCCTCACCCTCGCTCTCCTGCCCCGCCCTGAGGTAAAGGGGAGGCTCAGAGAAGATGGTGCTCACCGCGGTCCTCCTGCTGCTGGCCGCCTGCGCGGGGCCGGCCCAGAGCCTGGGCTCCTTCGTGCACTGCGAGCCCTGCGACGAGAAAGCCCTCTCCATGTGTCCCCCCAGCCCCCTGGGGTGCGAGCTGGTCAAGGAGCCGGGCTGCGGCTGCTGCATGACTTGCGCCCTGGCCGAGGGGCAGTCGTGCGGCGTCTACACTGAACGCTGCGCCCAGGGGCTGCGCTGCCTTCCCCGGCAGGACGAGGAGAAGCCGCTGCACGCCCTGCTGCACGGCCGCGGGGTTTGCCTCAACGAAAAGAGCTACCGCGAGCAAGCCAAGATCGGTGAGCGCGCTCAGTGTGCCAATCAGTTACGCGGCGCACGGGCTGGGGACGCGGGACCGCCGGGCCCGCGCGCTTTGCGCAGCAAGTGGCTTAGAGCTGGGGTGTAGCCGAGGAGCAATCGGGGAGGGTCCTTGCACCTCAGAATTGAAGCCCCTAGCCGATCCTATTCCTAGGTTTCTGTCTAGTCGAGTCTCTCCCAGGTTTCGCTCCTTCTCCTTTCCCCTACTCCCAACCTTATCCTCCCCTGTACCCCATTCGAATACTGACTCGGAGCTCTACTTTGGTCTCCTGGCCCAAAGCCCCTAGTAGCAATCTCCAGTCTGAAAACGTGTATGTTGCATTATCAACTCCTTCCCTCATTTTTTTTCTAAACTTGAAAAAAAACTCTTTTGTTAAAATATTGTCCTCATTGGGGCCTGGAGATAGAGGATCTACCCATCTTCCGAGCTAATTACACCTTTGTCCCTCCCGGTCCCCTCCCCTGCACTCCCACTCCCGTGCCGCTTGACATTTCTATCCCTTAGTCCCTAGACAGACATACACACACACCGTCCTTGGTAGCTAATGCCTTTTGGGTGGGGGCCTCGATGTCCCTCCTTCGTGTACACCCATTGCTTTTGATTTAATATGATTGATTGTGGTAGATGGCAAACCATTTTAACTGCAAAATGCCTTTTATTTCCTCCCAGAAAGGCTACTTTAGGAGAAGGGGTGGGGGTGGGGGGTTGGAGTTTGGTGCGGGCTGTTGGTCCCTGAGTCTAATTCCTTTTTTCTCCCTTCCCATTCAGATTTACCTAGGGTTAAAGGTGGACCTAGGGCTGGAGGCCAAAGGGGGTGTGATATTCAGACATAGCAACTTCCCCGCCTATGCTGATTCCCACCCACACCACCCTCAACTTCCCCGCCTATGCTGATTCCCACCACATTACCCTTGCACAATCCTCCCCTTTGCAATCTCCCCCAACTCCCAGCTCTTAAACCGGATCATAAGTGGGTGTGGAGTAAGTGCTTAAAGGGCTGGGAAAACGCATAATGCAAAATAAAAGGGGCGGAGACAGGAAAGCCACGCCCCGGGAGCCTCGCCTCCTCTTGCTCCGCCCCTGTTCGCCCCGCCCCCGAATTCTCAGCTCCGGGAGTCCGGCGTTTAAATGATTGACAGAGCTACTTGTTCAATCAGAACAGTTTTGGTTCCTTAGACGACGTTTCTTTTTGGAAAGTTACCTGATCTTAAATTTTTTTTTAAGTTTAATAAAGCACACAAAAGTCTGGGTTCTAAGACGTCAACCTAGGTATTGATTCTCTTCAAAATGTGTTAAGGCCAAACAATATTAATTTGGATTAGTTTCTTTCTGTCCCCTTCCAGTTCTCATGAGCACCCCAACATAGTTTTCTTAAGTGAAAACCAGTGACACTATCGAATAGCAGGGGAGTGAGTCTGGGCTTGCCAAGAGACAGGAAAGCTTTCCGGGGTTCAGCCTTGATCCCCTCAAAGCCTGCAGATTTTGACTGCTGCAGGAGCCAGCCCCTCCAGCTTTGCAAGGGGGGGTCGTTTTCCAAGGTGCAGCCCACAAAAAGAGAGGGGAGAACGTGCAGACACCGGAAGTCCCTGGGGCCGGTTTGCGAAGTTATTTTTATTAAGATCCACTTTTCAAAGGCGGTCCCTGCCTTCATCTTGGGGATGCAGATTTGGAAAAACTTAGCCCGGGGTGGGAGGGGGCGGGGTAAACGGAGGGAATAAATTGATTTCCTGGCTCGGAAGCGAGCGCCCTGGCTAACAATCCCGTCAGGTCTAAAGAATGCAAGGTCTCATGCAGCCGCATCCTGGCCCACTTTTATCTGCCCAACCATGTGATTGGCGTGATGTGGAGGGTGTGCGTGCAGGGCACACGCGCGCGCGGAATTGCCAGGCAAGCAGAGAGGGAGTATCCAACTTCCCAGTTCCACCTACCCCGCGCGCGCGCGCACACACACACACACGCACGCACGCACGACTTTGATCCCAAGCTAGGCCCTTTCAGAATTCTCTGCAGCCACTTCCTCAGCCCCCATCCTCGGGGTGCCTTTGGGGCAACCCTAAGCAGACTCCCTTCTCCATCCCAGCAGGCCCCAATCCTGCACTTTCCGCCGCTGACTCCACCCAAGCAGGTGTTTGGCGGGCTGCAGTTGCGGATTGGCTGCGCTCCACTGTCTCGGAGGCCGACGCCTTCCGCCGGGATAGATGGGGTGGGGGTGGGTGCTCCTTTTTAACCTAGAGAACCATTGAGTGAGCCTCCCCCCCAAAAGGTGGAGATTGTGCACAGACAGTGCTTAAGTTCCGAGAGAGAGAAGAGAGCGTTCCTTTGGTCCTTTAGCCAAAATTCCTGCTCCCCAACTCACTTTCCACCTCCCAATTCCCCCAAAATCTAATCAGTGGGGAAATGGCTTTGCCCTCCCTTCCTGGTTGCGACATATATATGCACACACAGATACATGAACACACACATATATATGGCATACTATATCATTATATCCAAATACTGCATTGTATAAATAATACAGTATTATATTCAAATACTATATAATATAAATAATATGTGCTGTATTATATTTTTTACATAACCCCCACAAAAGGTACGTTTCTAGAATAGTATTGGGGAACAGAGGAGTGAGGTGGCAGGCAGCCAGAGCTTCTGGGACGAGAGGAGAGTAGAGGGCGGGTGGAGACCCGTGTTTTGCTAGGCGGTTGCTGAGCAACCAGAGAGGGAGTCCGCCCGAGAGCAGGGTGTTGGGAGCGCGCCTGGCCCTGCATTTTATTTTGGCCAGTTCAGGGTCAGAGATAGATATAGAAAGAGCGAGGTGTGTGTGAGCCCGGAGGGAGTCAGAGAGGAGGGAGGTATTTACTTGGGCAAGCTCGGTAAATATCCGTGAGCTGGAGGGGGCCGGGGAAGGACCAAGGAAAGACTGAACCTGGCGCAAGGCTTCTGTGTGATTGGGGGAAGGAGCCCTGTGGCTGGATGGGCTGGTGCCAGCATGGCTGCCCATCCTGGGAGGTCTCTGCTGTGCTGGTGAGATATTAAGTTTGAGTGTAGGGAGCAGTGGGTCTGGGTTTCCGCTTTGTCATTCAGAAATAAAAGACAAAGAGGGATAGAAATTATGCCCTGGAAAAGAAAGAAAAATAAAATTACCTACATAAAAATGAATTCAGCCTTTGCATCTGTGAGGGCTTTGGCTTCCATCGCCCTGGCTTCAACTCCAAGCTTGGTCCAAATGCCATGTTGAAGTCAAGTTCCAGAGTTAGGTTTATTGGCCAAATTTATGTCTGGGTTGAGCAAGATCATGGAAAACTGAAGGAGCCAGATTCCTTTCTCACCCACACCCCCTCCCTTTGAAACAAGTCCCTGAGAAGATGACTGTGCCCTGGGCCAACCAAAACGGGAAGACAAGAGATGGGGCTTTAACCGGGCCTTTCCTGCAACCCACTTCTTTCTGCTGTGTCAGCTCAGACTGGAAGAACAAGCACAGTTGGCTGTAGTGAGAACTCATTTTCTTTCCATTTCTCTGTTTTCGCCTTCTTACCCCTCCCTCCTACTCCTCTTTCCTCCCCTCCCCCACTTCCCCCATCCCCCAGCTCCATCTCCCAACTCTAAAGCAGCCCCAGGGCTTGAGTTTTAAGTCAGAGCAGCTGCAAGTTGTTCCTGGGGCTTGAGCTGGATTTGATCGGGCAGGTGGGCCTGCAGCTGCTGCCAAAGGACCAGGCTGACCCAGGAGCCGGAGGTCACTGTGAGGGTTGCAGCAGAGGGCATGGGAGCAGGAATCCCTGCGGAAGCCCTCCTCTCCTGAAGGGCAGGGGGAGCAGCTATCAGGAAGGGGAGATAAAATTTGGCTAACATTTTGCTTTGTACCTGAGCATTGCCTATGAGACTTTAAGGTGTTTAATGTGCGGAAAATAAAACTCTGAAGAAGGAATCACCACAGTCCAGACCCACAACTTCCAGAAACTGAAAGAACACTATAAACAACCAGATACCAACAAGGGACCCGGAGGAAAAGGGAAAAGTCCAGAAAATGGTTTCAGTAAGAGACAAGTAGGCAATTTATAGGATTTTTGTTTAGTTTTTGTTTTGCCTTTTTACTACTTTTTTCTAAAACTTGCAGTTCTTCAAGACTATTCTTAAATTGTAATCTGGACATGTTATTCAAAACAATAAGGTTGATTACATATTTACAAGAGTAAATCATCAAATCAACAAGGAAGCCAGTCATAGGCATTCATTTCCCTCCTGCACAATATCCAGAGAATGTCCCCCTTTTATTTCCAGTTCCATTCTTTTCCATGATTTCCGTTATGATGTCACACCTTCATAGATTAGATATAGGCCTAGACACAGATAGAGATGTAGATATAGGTCTCCCCAGGGGAAGGACTGTACATCTCCTTGACAGGGGAACTAGCGTTTCCTCCCTGGCCACTAGGCTTAGCTCCGTCCTAGCATCTCTCCAGGAATTGTCTGGGTATTGGCCAAAGAATGTTAAGGCTGAAAGGAACCCACAGTGATCATCACAGCCCAGGCCTTCGTGTTAGGTTGAGGATGCTGAGGCCCTGAGTGGGATATCATTTGCCCAGGATGAGGCTGCAGGGTTAGAGGCAGCTCTTCCTCAGGGTTCCAGCTCTGCCTCTCGCCATTCCTGGCTTTCTGGCTAGTCACTAGGGCTCCTACCCCAGCCTTGGCAAACATCACCAAATGTTATCATCCCATGAAATAAGAACCCACAGCTTAGGGGTGCTCTGTTTGAGGGGCAGTAGAAAGAGTGAAGTAGCCCTAAAATAGAGAGTGCAACATTCTTCTTATTTTCACACTCATTCTGTCCCTTTTTCTACACGGTCTTGCAAACAAGGCTGGCTGAGGCCAGTGGTTTTGCAGAGGGGCCAAGGAGATTGTGAAGGAGTGATGTCAGGTCCACATGCCACACCTCATATCCTGAATGACAGGGAGCTCTCCTGATGTCAGGAGGCAGGCAGG